TGGCTCAAGATATCTCAAGATGTCTCATAATGGCTTCCTCTGTGTGCTGCCCACTTCCCTGATCGAGGCAATTCTTCTGGGCATCGTTTCTGGATGGGCTGGTAGGGATTCGCGAAGCGTCAACAATTGCTGAGATCGTCAAATCTACCGCGCCAGGCAAACGACCGAGAGAGAGAGAGAGAGAGAGAGAGACAGGAGGAGGAGGAGGAGGAGGAGGAGGAGGAGGAGGAGGAGGAGGAGGAGGAGGAGGAGGAGGAGGAGGAGGAGGAGGAGGAGGAAGACTGCACGCACCTACGGAGCGCTCCAGGGGCAGGAGGGCCTCAAAACGGTCCCAAAAGCCTCGACGTGTGCAACGGGAGGGAGGGGCTGGCCGAGCCGCGGGCTCCCACCGCACTCGGCGCGGACTACCGGCCCTCCGCGGTCCAGACCAGGAGCTCCGAGTGCCGAGTCTCGGGGGGGAGCGAGGAAGATCCCTGGAGCATGTTGCTGACCCTTCCCTTCTCCTCCCTCCTCACGCCCCGCTCCTTCCCCTGCTTCACTTCGTCCCCCATCCCGTCATCCCCTTCCTTCTCACCCCCTCTTCTCCCGACGGCCCCTTCTCGCCCCGATCCCGATGCAGCTCGCTGAGGGCACCACGCACAACTTCTGCGGGGTGTTCGGGGGCCGGCACACCGGGATCTTGCCGCCAGACTCGGCCCGGGCACGCTCTCTTCTGGATGCTCGCGAGGAGAGCACGGACGAAAGATAAGGATGCGGAGGAGGAGGAGGAGGAGGAGGAGGAGGAGGAGGAGGAGGAGGAGGGGCGAGGATGAGGATGAGGATGAGGAGGAGGAGAAGCAGGACGACGACGACCAGGAGAAAAACAGCGGGCGCAGAAAGAGAGGGGAGAAAATGGAAGACCAAGGAACATCGGAGGAGCAAGAACATGATGAGGAGGAACGGGTTCAAGCCAAAGCCGCGGGCGCAAAAGCCCGTTGCCGCGCCGCGCCCAGGTCTGGTGTCATCCGCGCGAGCGTCGGTGTGACACACATCCGAAACGAGTGCGCAGAGGCCCGGGTCTCGCCGAAGCTACTTCTCGGATGCGCAGACGAGTGAGGCCTCCAATAGAAGTGGATCCCCCCCCCTCGGGAGCACGTCTCCATTACAGACCTCAGGATGTTCCCAGGGCCATGCAAGAGCGGACAAGCGGACAAGCGGACTGCAATCGAGGCGCCGTAGGGGCCCTGCAGATGGGCGCTGGGGCGCGGCCAATGGCGAAACAGTGTCACAAGAGGGCCACACGTGGTGTTGAATTGCACGAGGTGCTGAGGAGGTACAGACGGGAGAATATTGAAGCCGCGCTGGCCTGTCTTGCTGCAGAACCAGACTCCATGGCGTTTCACAACTCTGCTGTTGACAGTCGTGATAATCCAGCAATGTTCTGCAGTGGGTTCGGGAGGCACTGCTTGGCGTGTAGCAGAAGGTCATCCCGTCATCTTGTTATTGCACGCCCAACCCGTCGTTGCGTCCGTAGATGCTCATCGTATTCAGGCTCCCAATGTAGGATACAGCGTGACCATTCCATTGCACTGTTGGCATCAACTTCCGCACCCGTTTCCACTTACACACTTTGATTGTGGTCGTCCCACCTGGGCTGGCACGGAAACGGAAAGAGCGCCTCAAACACATTAACCGAAGTTACTCACACCACCGTTCGTACTGGGAGGCTTGGCGCTGAGAGCTTGTTACGTCACCCCTCGTTCCTCCTCCTCCTCCTCCTCCTCCTCCTCCTGCTCCTCCTCCTCCTCCTGCTCCTCCTCCTCCTCCTCTTTCCCCTCCCCCTTCTCCTCCTCCTCCTCCTCCTCCGCCTCCTCCTCCTCCTCCTCCGCCTCGGCCTCCGCCTCCTCCTCCTCCTCGCCTCCTCCTCCTCCTCCGCCTCCTCCTCCTCCTTTCCCTCCTCCTCCTCCTCCTCCTCCTCCTCCTCCTCCTCTTCCTCCCCCTCCTCCTTCTACCTCCCTCCTCCTCCCTGGGCCTCGTCCTCGTTCCTCCTCCTCCTCCTTCTCCTCCTCCTCCTCCTCCTCTCCTCTTCCTCCTCCTCCTCCTGCTACTCCTTCCCTCCTCCTCCTCCTCCTCCTCCTCGCTTCCTCCTCGTCTTCCTCCTCGTCCTTCCTCCTCGTCTTCCTCCTCGTCTTCTTCCTCGTCTTCCTCCTCCTCCTCCTCCTCCTCCTCCCTCCTCCTCCTCCTCCTCCTCCTCCTCCTCCTCCTCCTCCCCCTCCCCCCCTCCTTCTCTTCTTCGGGCGCGCTGGGGATCCTATTGGGGCCCCTTTGGGCTCTCTTAGGGCCCTCGGGGCCTTCTTGGCCGTATTGGGGCCGTCTGGGGGCCATCTTGGGCCGTTTGGGGCCCCTTTGGGGCGCCTCTGGGGCCGTCTTGGGATGATATTTGGGGCCTCTTAGGCCGTCTTGGGCCCGTCTGTGGGCCCTCTTGGACCGCGATGGGCCCGTTTGGGGCGCCTCAGGGGCCGTCTTGGGACGATATTTGGGGCCTATGTGCCGTCTTGGGCCCGTCTGGGCAAGAAACGGGCCATGGGACCCACCCGGGAGCCGCTTCACTCGAAGACATACGAAGGAAACGGGCTATTGGACCATCCGTCTGGGCCTCGGGCTTCGCCCCCTACTCAACGTCAATCGCTCGTACCTCGCTCTTTCCGTCATTCCAACAAGCCAATTCAATTAATTCTGGCTGTTAGACTTCTTGCTGTTGCAGAACGGTGTTGCTCCTGCCTTCGCTAGTGCCACGTACTCCAACGGCGACGAGAAATTCTCGCACCACTGCGACCATGTGTGTTCTGCGTCAGCCGACCCGAAAGATGGGCTGTACAGAAACTCGGCAGGCCCCCCATGTGGTGGCCGCCGAGCAGCGCGGTTGGAGCTCCACTTGCTGGACCGCTCCATCTTCCAGTGCGACCGATGAGTCGCAGTCGGCTCGAGTCGTGACGACTTCGGCATGGACTTCTGACGCCGCGTGGATCGTTCAGCCTTCGAAAGCCGGAGACTTTCCGCTCGCCAGATCGTTCCATACTGACAACATTCGGGGCCACTGGCGGCGCTCAACGTGGAACGCCCGCGCGGGGGCCACCGCCACACCCACACGGCACAGACCTGCCGTAACATGCAGCCTTGCTTGTCGTAGCCACGCCACCATCTGAGCATCATGTCTTCTGCTGAGCTCATTCATCAGGTCTAAGAAGCAGGTGGTGAAATTCTGCAAACCTGAACGCGCGCGAGCCCTCTGTGCTCGGAAGGGCCGTTTCACCATCCCGAGCCGTACCTCTTCAGCTCCTGAGTGCCCAGAGGCATGCAGTAATACTACCGCAAAGAGTGCCCAACCAGTTGCTTGTGCGCCACATGGAAGCCCGTTGTTAAAAACCAACAGGGGCCACGACGTATACTGCAGAATGCAATGAAGGGCGCGCAAGGAGAGAGGAACACCATCTATCATCGCCACGAGTACCCTCATGCCATGTACCCATAATCGGCGACGCCTAGATCAAAGCTTGGGACGTCGAGGTGGCTCCTGCGGCAGCACTGGCGCCCGCATTCAGCGCCACCGAAGCGAGGGCGCTTCCTTCCCTCGCCGCCCAGGCTGGAGTGGCAAACTCGCGGGGGGGATCATCATACGAAGCAGCGGCAGCCCCAACTCGTCGCCCCTCGGCGGCCTTCCTCGTCCTAACGCGCCCTCGAGGCCACCCTGGGGTGCCACCGTGCTAATCGGGCGGGTTTCAGCTGGTCGGCCTCTCATTGGAGCCGGCTGGGGACCTGAGGTGGGGCGTCGTTGGTTCCGCCGTTAGGGAAGGGGAGAGGCACCATAATGCACAGGTTTCGTCCCATGTCCCCCACCTCCAGATGGGCATCGAGTGCCGAATTTGCCCCCCCTTTCTCCCTCCTGGCCGATTGTGCTGGTGCTTCTCCAGAGCAGGTCACCCGAGCCGCCTCCAAGCCTTCCTTGCCCGCTCGAGATGGTCGCGCTCTGCCGCGCCACTCGTGGTCGCGCCCGTCGGGGCGGAGAGTCCTGGACACTCTGCTCTCGGGGATGGACAGAACCTCCTTTAGTAAAACGTGGCTTAGTGAGAACGACCTCGGGCCCGAACCTGGCGGGAGGCAAGCCTGGAAAATGGCGGCCGCGGCGCCGTCTCGAGAACCGAAAACGGGCAATGCACGAATCGACGTGTCAGAGTGGGGGTTCTGTCCACCCCCGACACTTATCTTAGCCCCCTGTGGTCGGAGCCTCGCACGTCTTCCCGATGCTCTGCACCAAGTGCGAGAGGAAGCCGACCCGCCTGCGACGGAGCCCCCCCATCATCATCACCTCTCCCCTTCCCGAGTCTCCCCGCCCCCCCTCCTCCTTCTCCTTCTCCTCCTCCTCCTCCTCCTCCTCCTCCTCCTCCTCCTCCTCCTCGCTCCTCCTCCTACTCCTCGCTCCTCGCTCCTTGCTCCTCGTCCTCTCCCCCCCCCTCCTCCTCCTGCTCCTCCTGCTCCTGCTCCTGCTCCTGCTCCTCCTCGTCCTCCTCGTCCTCGTCCTCGTCCTCGTCCTCGTCCTCGTCCTCGTCCTCGTCCTCGTCCTCGTCCTCGTCCTCCTCCTCCTCCTCCTCCTCCTCCTCCTCCTCTCCCCCCCCGTCTTCGAGGCGCTTCTCTCATCGGGAAGGGGCCGGGTGGCAGAGAGGGCGAGCAGACCACTCGTATGAGGCACGAGGGTGCGGTCAGAGTCGTGCCTGTGTGGGGCCTTAAGGCGCACAGCTGGTCAAGCCTGCTTCCCGCGCTGGGCTCGGACTTGCCACCAGGGCCCCGCCTGCATGATGGAGGGGGGGGGGTGCCGACGGCAATGTGTCCTGGCCCCCGTGGCTCTTCTGAGGGCCTCTGCCTCTGTATCCGAGGAGCTTTGCCTCTGCCTCTGCCTCTGCCTCTGCCTCTGTATCCGAGGGAAGACGGAAGAGAGGCGAAACGAGAGGGTGGACCCAGCCTGAATCCAGTGCGGGCGCGCCCGCAGGAAGCCGTCGCAATAAACCCAACCCTGAAAACTCGAGCAAGAAAGAGGTGCAGCCGCGAGGAAGCCCCGAGCACCCTGAACGCAGCAGCTGCTTCCACGGCTGCGGGAAGTCACCGCGCAGCTCGACGAAAAGCACATGGTTTCTTGATGCGCGCCCCCGGGGAGGAGGAGGAGGAGGAGGAGGAGGAAGAAGAAGAAGAGGAGGCTGAGGAGGAGGAGGAGAAGCAAGGAGGAGGGAAGAGGAGGAGGAGCAGGAGGGGGAGGAGGAGGAGGATGAGGAGGAAGAGGAGGAGGTGGAGGAGAATGATCTTCATGTCCGAGCAACATCAAGGAGGAGGAGGTGGAGGAGGAGGAGAGGAAAAATCTTCATGTCCGGGCAGCGTCAAAAAGGATGAGAGAGGAGGGAGGAGAGGAGAAGAGGAAGGAGGAGGAGGCAGGAGGAGGAGGAGGAGGAGGAGGAGGAGAGGAGGAGGAGGAGATAGGATGGGGGAGGAGGGGAGGAGGGAGGAGGAGGAGGAGGGAGGAGGGAGGAGGGAGGGAGGGAGGAGGGAGGAGGGAGGAGGAGGAGGAGGAGGGCAGGAGGAAGGAGGAGAAGGAGGAGGAGGATGAGGAGGAGGAGGAGGCCCTGACGAAAAACGAAAGGCACATGGCTCCTTGATGCGCGCTCCCATTGCAATTTCCTCACGATCCCGGGGCCTGGGAAGGACCCCGAGACGGAGAGGGCGGCCCAAAACACCTAGGGGAACAGCCCCTCTGCCTGGCCGCCGACGGCAAATTGCGCGTCCCCGGGCCGCCGGCCCCCCGGGCGCCGCCCGCGCGCGACTCTGCTCGAGTGGCTTCTATTTTCGCTCGCGCTCTCGTTCTCCCGCCTGTGCGGTCGACGCATCGAGAGACACGGCCTCGCCGAGAGGATCCTTGGTCGCCCTTTTGGCCCAAGCGCCGCCTCCCCCCGGTGGTGCTCCCGTGAACCGCGCCTGCCCTTAAGTCGGGTGTGTCCCTCTACGGGCGGCAAATCCAAAAATAGTCAATCAAAACATAGTCTCGGGACGATCTTTCAACATTTTTAATGTTTTTGTTGTTGTTTGCTTCTTTGTTGTTGTTTGCTTCTCTCCATGTTTGGCATATCCTATGACAACCTCTCCTCCAGGATCTGCCCTGTAGGGGGACCTGCACGACCCGAGCCTGCCCTCGCACCCCGCCGCTGCCTCTCCGGTGCCGCCCGTGTGGCGGAGAGGCCGCCGCCCTCCAGCATGCCGCCCCCGCGCCCGTCGGCCGGCGCGCTCCCCGCCGCCCCAGCGACGACGACGACGGACGACGGACGACGACGGACGACGACGACGACGGACGACAACGACGACGGACGACGACTGCCGCTGCCCCGAGAGGGCCAGGCGGCTCAACGACAACGACAACAACAACACCAACGAAAACAACAACAACAGAAACATGAACAATAACAACAGCAACAACAACAGCAACAACAACAGCAACAACAACAACAACACCAACAACACCACCACCAACAACAACAATCATTCTAATACGGTTCGCTCTTACTTGCCCGCGTGTCATTCAAGACGAGTTCCCCACACCTTCGATACCCGCCCTTTGTCTTCGATCACACCCCCTTTGGTGGGATTATTTCTCTTTGCAGGGGGCGGCGGGCTTAGACTGGCGGGCGAACCTGAACGGGCGGACAATCCTTCGCGGGCGTACATGTGCCCGCCATTGGAATTGGTGTTGGCCCTGCAAAAAGAGGAGGGGGAGAACGAGGGAGAGGGGGAGGAAGGGACGGGGAGGGGCGAAGGAAGATGAAAAACGCCAGGAGAGAAGGAGCGAACAGGGGGGCGGTTGATTAGAGGCAGAGAGAAAGAGAAAGACATATAAGAGAGGTAGAGAGAAAGAGAGGGGAGAGAGAGAGAGAGAGAGAGAGAGAGAGAGAGAGAGAGAGAAAGAGGAAGGGAGGAGGCAGGAGAGGGGAGGGAGAAGGGAGGAGGGAGAGGGGATAGGGCAGAGAGGCATAAGGATGAAGGAATAGAGGAGGGAGAGAGAAGGGAGGAGAGGAGGGAGGAGGGAGGAGGGAGAGGGAGGAGGAGCAGGAAGGTAAGAGCGTGAACGTTCGAGGAAATCCTAGGCGAAAACGCCGTTCCTGAAGGAAGTCTCGGGAATGAGCCCACGACGGGCGGGCGATCCCCTGACGGGCGGGTCGGGCGGGTGGGACATTCAAGCGGGATGCCTGAGTATGGCGAGAGCGCGATTATGAAGTGAACTGTAACGGCGTCCTTGGCGCAGCGTGTTTCCTGAGCGTCGAAAGCGCGATTTCTGATACTTTGCATGGAAGCCACAGGCAACAACAGCAAACACCAACAAGAACACCACCAACAAGAACAACAACAGCACCTACACCAGCAACAACAACAACGAAACAACGAAACACCGAACAACAAACAAACAAACAAACAAACAAACAAACAAACAAACAAACAAACAACAACACCAACAACAGCAACAACAACAACAACACCACCACCAACAACAACAACAACTCAACACAACAAACAACAGCTCCCTTAACTTGCGCAGCCCAGCGTTGGCCCGCCGGGGGCAGCCACCGAACGGCCGTGCGGCGTTCTCCCCCGCCCACGACGCTCCAGCGCGCGCGCGCTTGTGTGCGTGCGTGCGTGCGTGCGTGCGCGTGTGTGTGTGTGTGTGTGTGTGTGTGTGTGTGTGTGTGTGTGTGTGTGTGTGCGTGCGTGCGTATGTTTGTGTGTGTGTGTGTTCGTGAAAGTGTGTGTGTGCGTGTGTGTGTGTGTGCGTGCGTGCGTGCGTGCGTGCGTGCGTGCCTGCGTGTGTGCGTGCGTGCGTGCGTGCGTGTGTGTGTGTGTGTGCGTGCGTGCGTGCGTGCGTGCGTGTGTGTGTGTGTGTAAGTGTAAGTGTAAGTGTAAGTGTAAGTGTAAGTGTAAGTGTAAGTGTAAGTGTGTGTGTGTGTGTGTGTGTGCGGGCGGGGATCGTTGGGTCACACGGGCATCAAAAGCAAGGGGCCAGGACGACGACGCGATCGTCGACCGGGCCGTCAAGGTCGACACCCTGCTGATCGAGACTAGGTACCGCAACGAGGCGGCAATGTCCGCTCAGCATAAGGGTAACCTGCATGCTGACCCTAGGGGGGAGGTATATCATACGCCTGGGGCCTACCTGGACTTGCTCATCCAGACGGGCAAGTACAGAGTCAATAGTATCGGGTAATGGGGATTCAGGGAATCCGGGATCGAGCGATGAGCAACAGCTTCTGGTCAGAGTTCCGATGCTCTGAGACGGGGTGCGGAAAGGTGGGCGCGGCCGCCTGAACGTTGACCCCACCACGGAGTTGCATGTGGCGCCCACGTTGTCGTCGATAGATTCATCTCTACCTGGGCCGCTTCTTTCATAGGCAACACCATCGTCATTGCTCATCGTCGCGCCCATCGTCAACGCCATCGTCATGGAGGGCGCGTGGCTCATCTGGGCTCGATCCTCGTGCTAGAACTCAGGCGCTCGCACCAACATCAACGCCACTGCCACCGAGCCGTCAGTCCTTTCGCGAGCGGGCGGGTGGCGAGAGGAGGGCGCCAGGAATGTGCTCTCCCAACCATCCTGTGGTGTTGGGTCCTTGTATTGAGATAGCAACGCCTCGCGTCACCTCCTCAGCACCTCCTCCCCCTCATCCCTCCTCATCGTCAGCGTCACCCACGTCCTCATCATCCCCATCTTGATCACCGTTACCACCACCATCATGAACATGATCACCAACATCATCGACATCATAATCATTACCACCGTCATCATAAGCGTCAACATCATTGTCCTTCTCATCGTCGTCATCGTCACCATCACCACCCGTCACATGTCGGCACACCCCGCACGTGTTTCGCGGCCTCGCAGGGAGCTTCACCGCAGGCTCCATGTGGCAGAGTCCGCATGGCGGCCCAGCCCCGCGTCGGCAAATCCTTCACGCGTGTCGTGGTCTCACAAGGAGCTCCAAGGCAGGCCCCGTGTGGCAGGGTCCGCGTGGCGGCCCCGCCCCGTGTCGGCACACCCCTCACGCGTGTCGTGGTCTCACAAGGAGCTCCAAGGCAGGCCCCGTGTGGAAGGGTCCGCGTGGCGGCCCCGTCGGCACGCCCCTCGTGCGTCTCGTGGCTCCAGGAGGAGCTACACCGAGGGCACCAGGGCCCTGGGCGGGCGGGAACACCAACCCACAACGGACAAGGGGAGAGGTAAAGGAGCTGCGAGGAGAAGGAGGAGGAGACGAGATGGTTTCGAGGACCAGTTCGAAGGCATTTGTTAGGGGATGCCTCGAGCGAAACGCTGGTGTTCGAACGAACGTGTTGGAAACCCATGGGTTGTTCAATCATTTTGCTTCTAGGGCCATCTGGGAGACCATCCGAGATCGCTCCACGAAACGGCGGCTCACGGGGCTCGCGCTAAACAACACATCCTCCGCGAGCTCATGTCTGATTCCCTCTCCCTCATGCGCGCCGCCGTCCTTGTACTGGCCCCGCTCCTTCCTCTCACCCGTCGCGCGATTCTCGGGGCTGTACATGGTTGGGTCTGTCGCATGTTTTGTTGCCCCATTCCTGCGAGGCCAACAATGTTCCGTTTGGCGCCAAGCTTGGCATAATCACGGAAGCAGCGCGCAGGATGGTGAGAGGAAGGTGAGAGAGTGGAGTGGCAAGGGGGAACAGCAGGGTTTAATGAGGACACCACACAGGGAAGAAGAGGAGGAGGAGGAGGAAGAGCAAGATAAGTATGCTTTCCGTACGTTGTATCCAGGACGGTGAAAGGGAGGAGGAGAGGAGGGTCATGTTGGACTACGGACTAAGGTCACCCTGCCTTGGACCAACGCGCCGCGACCCCCGCCCAGCCCGCCAGCCGGCAGAGTGCATTTCGAAAATGCGTTATTCCTCCTCCTCCTCCTCCTCCTCCTCCTCCTCCTCCTCATTCTTAACGTCCTCCCCTGTTCACGCATACCCCTTCAGAGCGTGTGACGCAACGCTGCGCCGAGGGGGGGGGGGCAGCTCGTAGTAGCAGCACATGTGCAAGAGAAGCCTCGCAACCAACTTAACGACGGGCTGCTGCCAGAGGTTGGAACGAAGCTGGCGGGTCCTGATGGAAGCGGGTCCTGCACCCCCGTGGGGCTTGAAGCCTTAGGCCCCTATGGCCCCAGCAGTGCCCAATACGGATCGAAGAGAGAGCAATATCTTGCGGATGCTTTCGTCGAGGCTTCTCCAGGGAGAGCAGGTCCTCATCGGTTCACGGCCGCGCTACGTCGAGGCCAATTGGCCCAAAAACGAGAAAGTTCTAGGTGCCAGATGCACATGTGCTAGGCTTAGGTCGGGCATGTCCCCCTACAGGCGGATTTTGGACGACAAGTGAAAAAGTATCCAACAAATATTCGAGAATGGTTCAACAAATCAAAAATCGTCCCCTGACTTTTTTTGTTGTTGAAAACTTGTTTTTTTGAATATTCCCCCTGTAGAGGGACGTGTCCGACTTATGCTAGGTGCCACTTGGGGCGGTTTAGGTTTCCTCCCCTGGGACCAGTCCTTCCGCCCCCGGTCGTCCCTTAGACGGCCCCGTGGGGCCCGTGGGGGGCCCCCGCATCCCGGGAGCGGCGCAGGACCTGCAGACCCGCTTTCCCCGAGGCCCGGCGCTGCTTCGCGGCTGCCAGAGGCGGCCCTGGCCCAGAGTGAGGTCTGGCATGTCTCCCTACAGGCCCATTTTGGGCGCAATTTATATATATATATATATATATATATATATATATATATATCTCCAAACATACCCCCAAACAGCCAAAACATAATCGAAAAATCGTCCCCGGACTATTTTTTTGACTGCTTGTGAGTGTTCCTCCTGTAGAGAGACATGGCCGACTTGAGCCCAGAGGTGGCCCCGACCTGTCCCCGGCTGCGGCCCAGAGGGCCCCCAGGATCATGTTGTTCCCATCGTGCTTGAGGACCACATCCCAGAAATGATGTCGAGCAGGGCAGGCGCGGCTGGGTCAAAAAACGCCTGGCGAGTCCTGGACACAGGGAACACCTGCCGTCTCCGAGTGCACGAGGTGGAGGCCGCGGCGATCTTCCAGACCGACAGCATCGAGGCTCGGAGGTACAGGAGGAGGGATGACCCAGAGGAGGAGTATCGAAGCAGGGTCTGCCTGGCACGCTAGCGAAGGGTCAGACACGAGAAAACCTCCCACTTGTGGTACTTTCCTGTTGCCCGAAATTCTTCCTTGTGATCCAGGCTAAAGTAGGTCGGAACATCACAACTCCAGGAGTACCCCTCACAGGGCAGGGCACAGGGCCCTCAGGGCCCCAGGGGGGGCGCGAAAAGGAGCTGGGGGCACGTCGGGGCCAGAAGCACCCCTGCCAGCCTCGGATCCCTGCCTCTCCGTCTCCCTGCCTCTCTCTGGAGGTCAAACACATGGACCCCAACTTCGACGAAGCCTGGACCGGAACAACATCGGACAGGTGAAAGTCGTGCATCTCTGAGGCTGTTCCAGAGCGCTCCAGAACGATTGACTCATCCCAGTCCCGTGCCTGCACGCTCCTGGTTTCTTCCCTGGAGGTCAACACACATTGGCCCCCCCAGACCTGTCCTGGAGTGCGCTCCGACCAGAATCTCGAGGCGGGATCCAGCCGTGGCGGCCAGGAGACCCCCGGCGGCCCCCGAAACGCCAAAACGTTGAATGAACTCGGCACGACCCCAAGCAGGGGAAAACTTCCTGTTGCATGGGCGCGCTGCTGGGCATTGCTCTGTGCACTGCTTGGCATGGCATGCCGCTGCTTGGCGTGGCGTGGCGAGACAGCAGCAAGAAGCCAAGGAACCGAGGAGCCAGGACCAAAGAGCCCAGGCCGAGGAAGCGAGGAGCCGAGAACCCAAGGAACCAAGGCACCGACAACAAGGAACCGACGAACCAAGGCCCAGGAGCCAAGGAACCAAGACCAAGGACCCCAACAATCAGCATCAAGGAGCCGAGGAACCAGGACCGAGGAACCAGGACCAAGGAACCAAGGACCCAAGACGAAGGAGCCAAGACACCATCACGAATTAACTGGGTAGTCACCAAGATCAAGGACCAAGGATCCCAGACCAAAGATCCAAGGAACCAAGACCCGCTCACACGGGCAAGGCCTTACGAGGTCAAGACCGAGGAATACCGGGGAAATCCCATGTAAGGAAACAAGATTAAATAACCCCGGGGAAGGCTGACGCCAACTGGGGATCGCACCCGCCGGTTCTAAACAGGCAAAGCCGAATCTGGGAAACATCTTGCGCCTCGATCGTCGAGCTGGGAGCACCTCGGGCCAGGGTCACTTCTGGCAGCCTTCGACTTTCAGCCCCGCGACGCACCGTAGGCGCGGCACTCGATGGACGCGTCGCATGTGGACGCCTCCGTGGAACCGAAGATGGTCACGTTGTGCATGTAAACGCGGTGCTCGTTGTCATCGCGTGACCGGGTGAAGTGCAGGGCAGTACCGACGCGGCAACAAGAACAAGGAGGAGGAGGAGAAGGAGGAGGGGGATGATGATGATGATGATGATGATGATGATGATGATGATGATGATGATGATGATGATGATGATGAAAGTGATGATGATGATGATGAGGAGGAGGAGGAGGAGGAGGAGGAGGAGGAGGACGAGCGGGAGGAGGAGCGCACGTCCCTCTGCGGATGCGATTCCTCATCTGGGCGCCGACGCGCCGCCGTGCAGGCGCGGGCCCAGCCTCGGCGCGGCGCGGGCGGCCTGGAAGAGGTTCAGGTTCTGCTCGTAGCAGCTGATGTTGATGCGGTAGGTGCCCACGGGCACGGGGTCGACGCCAAGTACGCCGACCAGATGGCTCTGTACCGTGGCGCAGTCGTACTTCAAGCGGCCGCTTTTCGTGCAGTGGGTCTGGCACAGCACAGCGAGGCGCGTGACCGAGTTGAGGATGTCGTTCGCGTCCGACATGCCGTAGTCGTGCGCTCCCAAGTCCATGCGCGTGAGCAGGTCGGGCGCCAGCATGCCGCGAGGCAGCGCGACGTGGCGCCAGGCCCGGCGGCAGCATGCCGCGAGGCAGCGCGACGTGGCGCCAGGCCCGGCGGCAGACCACGTAGTGGGCCTGGTCTTCGGGATCCGCGGGGGGGCCAAATCTGCAAAGGCGCTCCAGCGGTTGCACCTGCATCCTGAAGGTAGTTCGCCATCCTCCGGCGCACGCTTACATGATTGGCCAGAGTCGCGATGGCGGCATCTTGGCAACCTTGGAGCGTGCCTTGGCCCATATGTTGTGGATCGCGGGCGGCAGCTGGAGCGTGGACACGTGGTCATTCTGTTGCTCATCGTTCCACCAGCGGTTGCCGTCGTTCGGAGGAGTAGCGTCGCTGTCATCGTTGATCTCGCCGGGGAGTCAGACCAGTTGGCGTCGGGCAAAATGTCCTGCTCTCGCGTCGTCCAGCAGTTGACGAACGTCTGCTGGAATGCGAGGCTGTTGGAAAAACTGGGCCCGCCGTTGCCTGGCGCTGTCGCCGCCGTGCCAGACGCCTCGACAGGTGCGGCGAGCCATGTCTGTGAAAAAGAAACCGCCCCCGCCCTTGTACAAGATGCTACATGACGGTCGTTTGAGCACTCGAAGTGTGTGTGCTTCGCACCACTCCGTTCAGTCGTGGCGTCGGTCCAGCAGCTGGTCCTTCAGGTGCACGCCAGGGATCCAGTCGTCGGCCCAGTGGGCCAGCACCTCCCCCATAGCTCGACAGGAGTCGTTGGTGGAGTGCTCAGGCGTGGGAGCGTCTGGAGCCAGAGGTGGGAGGTCGAGGACATTGGTGGCGCGGCTGGCCGTCGGGCACCATGCTTGGAGGCGCTGCAGGATGGTGGCGCCGAGTGTGTCGGAGTAGAGGCCGCGCTGGAGTTCGGACATGGATGCGGCCTGTCGCGCTTTCGGCTTGCGCAGGGGCTGTCGATCGTCATCGCGTCGCGGGTGGAGATCCGGCTCGTTGTCTCTGCGGTTGTTTGGCTAGGATGACCCGCCTGCTTGTCCAGAGGCTGCTGCTTTGCCCTGCGCGCTGGCTTTACGCTGGGCAATCGTGGGATGGCGGGCTGCGCTTTGGCCGTTTCCCCGAAGTCGGTGGTGGTGCTTGTAGGGGGAGCCCTTGCCCGTGGGATAGGAAGCAGTGGCCAGAGGGGAGCCCAGCATTCGGTGCGCCAATGCCCGTCGGTGACTTTGACCCGGGGTAGGTATTCGTCTGCAGCGTGTTATAGCGAGCGATGCGCCGACTCCCAACCACGAATAATGTAGGTGGATGTTCTCCGCGTGGTGCCCGCGAGCATGAAACCGAGCCCCGTTGGGATTTCTGCGCCCCTCCAGGTTCGCATGGCCAAGATGTCCGTCTTCGTGAACGCAGGAGGGGGCCATCCTGCGGACCGCCTGGATCTCCTCGGGGAGGAACATGGCGATCGGGGGGGGGGACTGGCCGGCGTAGGGCAGGCTCGTGATGGTCGAGATGCTGCAGAGCTGCATGCAGAGCTGTAGTTGGTGTTAGAAGACCCCATCATCTGGAGTCGGGACCTCAATCTGGCCGCAGGTGCCTGCCATTGACGATGGTGAACAGCGCGTGGCGGATGATGTCGATCAGGTCTTCGTTAAGGGCGGTCCACAATGGTGCCGGGGCGCATTTCTTGGGCCGAAGGCGTAGGTCTGCGAATCGACGGCAGCGCGTGTGCGAGGCCACAGGTGAAGCAGATCACGCAGGGCTCGGAGTGCACAGCCAATGTCATCAGCGCAGGCGTTGGTAGTGCTACCACCGCGCTGCGGGTGGAGACCCGAGTTGTTGTCCCCGCGGGGGATATATAGACTTGAGCGCAGTGTCGATGCCGAGAAGAATCGGCTCAAACGCGAGCGCCCATATCGACCCACTAAGAGGACACCCTTCTCAAACTCCGCTGTCATCGAAGCGGGGTGGGCGAGGCGCGTTGTCCAGGGAAGGAAGGTGGGCGGGTTGTGGTAGCGGGCGTTCAGTAGCTGCAGGAACGAGCCGTGGATGCCCCAGCCTCGGACTACTTCCGAAAGCCACGCATGCAGGAGACTAGAAGACGCCGCAGCGAAGTCCATGCTCCGGAAACAGGGCTGCAACTCTGCTGCGTCAGAGAGGATGCTGAGTTCGCAGCAGCCCGCGTCAACGTTGACTATGTTGGCGAGGAACTGCCGAACAAGTCCACGCTGCACGTCGCTGGTGGAGGGGGCGAGGGGGTGGAGCTTCCTGTTGCAGGCAGATGGGATGATCTCGATGTCGCTGTTTTTCGTGGATAGCGGGCGGGACGCGCCAGGACCACGCAGAACAGCGCGCTTGTCGTCGGTTGCTTCTCCTTTTAAGAGCATCGCCATCAACGAGAAGCTCGAATCTCAAGGTACTCGACCACCGCGTGCCAGGTAGGGCACGAGCTCCGCCAAGATAGAGAAACCGAGAGGCGTCGCCAGCCATGCGCGATAGGGTAGCTGGCCAGGGCCAGGAGTGGAGTCTGTTGCATGCTTGGCCGCAGCTTCGAGGTCGTGATCGTAGGGGATGGCAATGCCGATCGTCGCCATCATGGGGGATACCCTGTCTTTGTGCAGTATTATGTCCTGCTTGATGATCTCCTTCTCCACGAATGTCGGGGCATCGGGTCGGTCTCGATATGGGAAATGCCACCGGTGCTGATCTTCACGCCACTGAGGATCAGCCGCCTCGCGCAGGGCTGCCGCGGCTCTCCGCGCCGTCGTGCGCGGGTGGCCCGCTGTCGCCAGCGATCGCCATCGCGAGGACGATGAGCAGCATGTGCTGGTCGCGCTTGGGCAGCTGCTCGCGCGCGTCGCTCGTCGGCCGCATCGGCGCGGGCCACGGCAGCTGCGGCGCGGAAATTCGGTAGGTCGCGGATGCTAATCTTCGGGGTGCAGTTCGCGCTCGGCGCGTCGTCGTGGATCTCCAAGTGTTTGGCGCCCAAGTTCTCAATGAACACTCTAGCAAACGGGGCATTTGCATACCAAACAGCCCTCGCGTCATGGAGTCCGCCAACTTGGCGATGTCCCCATGGTTGGCTTTCAGGGCGTCAGGGTGGCGCTTCAGTGGCGCCGTTCGCGGGCGCCGCGCGGCGGCTGGCGCGTTTTTTCTTGAGCGCCCTCCATGTGGCCACTGCGTCGAGGGGGGAGACATCAGTCATGTCGTTGAGCTTGGTGACGCACTGTTGGTGGGCGGGGTCGCTTAATCAACGGGCGGCGCGGTCGCGCCGAAGTCGCGCTTGGGTTTTGCTGCGTCCGCGTGGCGGTCGCAGTAGTCAGCGCTGACGGGGGCCGGGGGGTGCCGCGCCACCAGCGGCCTGGTTGTCATCGACACCTGGGTGGTGCGCTGCATGCTGGTGCGTCGCGCTGTCCGTCAGGTCGAGCATGCCGCTGTTGCCGTGGGCCCCCAGGGGCAATGTCGAGCTGCGCTGGTGGAAGTAATTGGCAATCATGCGACGCTCTACATCGCGACAAGTGGGTGGGGTGCCGCAGATGGCCTGGGAGCTCCTGCAGACCAAGTTGGCGTCGCCCTTGCTGTTGCCGTCGTGCCGTGGCGCCATCTTATTGTCAAAACCACGACGCTTCAGCCTGTGGGTTCGCGAAGTAGGCGGCGAACTCGCCCGCGAACTCTTGCTGAGCAGCGGGGGCGATGCCGGGGCCGACAGCCGCGTCGGACCATTGCGTTGCGTCCGTGGGCTTCGCGCCGATGTGCAGGCGGACGGTGGGCGCGTTGCTGTCGACGGGAAGGTGGCCGTTGGCGCGGTGGGCCCTGGGCGAAATATCGTTGAACTTGCTGGTGATGATCTTGGAGAGCTTCTCGAGCTGCACCTCCTGTCGCACCAGCTTCGGGCTCTTGTCGGCAGTGACGTAAAAGGGGAGGCTCTGGTCGCCCGGGCGGATTGAGAACTGGCGCCAATCGCGACCAACACGGCGATGATGATGAAAGGGCTTGCCACGCGGGATGACCACCGCGTCGCCCCCAAGGGCCGTGACGGAGACTCGCTCGCTGGGCGAGCTGCTGTTGAAGCGGGCGCAGTTGATGTCCACCTAGGACGCGTTGAAACATGACTGGGGGGCCTCGCGGAGCTCGGCTTTGAAGATGTCATGCGTGCAGCCGCACCAGAACGTGACGATGTGACCAGGTCTGTCCCAGTCGTCGATCGCGGCGAGGTCGACCGATGGGACCTAGGCCTCGGCATGCGCGATGGGCTGCTGGGGGCTCGTGACCGCGGCGCGGAAGTCGGCGGTGCTCTTCTGGGTGACAGCGAAGCGCTTCTTGACTTCAGCTTGCTCGGGCTCCGTGTGCTCCTGCCCCTTGCTGACGGAGGCCGTGACTTTCTGTGCGTGCGCCATGACCTGGCTCTGCGCAGCCATCGTGGCCTCCTTGGCCGTCTTCTCGAATTGCTTGGTGGCTTGGTACATCTGCT